GAGCCGTTCAAAAGAATCGGTTCGTTCGCGAACGTCACAACTCTAGTATGCAACCGTTTAGTTTGCGCTAATGTGTTATTAGTGTTAATAACAGCAGCGAATCTAACACTTAAAAAGCTGCAATGTTCATAACAGAGTGACTGTTCTGTCCTGAAACTGTAAAGCTGGAAAATTTTAAAAAATGCATTTTATAAAATGTCGAATAAATAGACGTAGTTTATTGGTGGTCGTGTTGGTCTACGTTTCCGCTTTTTAACAACTGTATAAGGTTATTTGTTATACAAATCAATTAAGGGGAAACAAAAAATTTATGTGTTCAGGGTTGCAAACTCTCACGGGTTTGGGTAACACGCTTTCAGACTCTCACGCAAGCTTAGCTGCATCAAAAACGTTAGGGCAGTTTGCAAACCCTACAGACTATTGACATGGTAATAAAACTCTTACATACACGTAAATGTATGTGCGCACGACTCGTCTCGAACAGAAAGCCTCACTCCAGGCAGCTGACCAAAGATTCGACTGAAGCAGCTTATCATTCCTTTGCCTTGTTGCTCTGACAAATATAAAACGGAGAAAACATTATATGCGTCACTTTTTATATCTTTTTTTAAATAATAAGACCATGCCCATACCCAACTGTAATAACGATTAAAGCGATCTGTTCTTTTAGTATTTGTGTTAAAGCGAGGCTTTCATTTTATTACTGTTGTGGTATTAAGATTAATTTCACAAGATTAATCTATGGAAAATCAATGAGCACAAAAACATATGACATAAACACGTATTATGGATTTTACGACAGACTCTGCTGCTGTGAGGATTACCGACCGTCTCATTGTTGTTTTGATGGGTTACATGCTAATGTGATTTCCTATTAACAAAAACAAAAGGTGTGATACGCTGAAGTATATCGCAGCTGGTGTTTAAAAGGAGGTCGCCGGTTCTATTGATGACAGGATCTTTCTGAAACAATCTCGGACCATGAAATAGGAAGGCAATTCACTTATAGCTCAGTAGCGGAATCAGTATTTTTTCCGCACCGCGAATGCAACATTTTCTTCACGTGTTTGTTGTTCGTGGGCGTGTACTCCGTCGCCTCGGGCCACTTCTGATTGGTGAGCATGGCTGTCACATAAGGAGCACGGCGCTTGTGATTGGTGAGAACGACTGTCACATAGGAAGCACGGTATGAGTTTGGAAAACTATTCTTAGAACAGTTTTAAACCCTGGGTCCAACGTGCTATATAATGTATGTCCTAAATCGCAGCCTTTGCTATTTGCTAATGGCGTTGTTTCAAATCGCGATTTCGATTTGAAATCGATAAATCGTTCAGCCCTACTTCCAGTTCTTATTCACTTCCCATTTAGACTATTGTTGCCATAAGCTGTGATTGGTTTGTGTCTCTGGGGCCTATACTGAAAAAATAGCCGTACTTCTTCAGCCATCATCAGAAGAGAATCTGCAGATGAGATCTTGTGTTGTCTTCCCCAAACTTTTTTTTGTAGTCATTGCTTTGCCCTCATGGGGATAAATCCTTCTTCTGAAGTTTGTTTTATTGTCTGAGAATCTGTTTTTTTCCTACTTACAAATAAGAAACTAAGCAATGTCATCTGGGTATGAAGATGGAAGTTTTTGGTTATTTCTCTTATCTTGTGAGCAGAAAGAGACCAAGTCTTAGGGACAGCATCTTCTTTCACTCTTCTGAAGTGTCCCCGTTTCAGATAATTTCTCCAGGTCGATATCTAGTCCCTCTCCTCCAGAGTAGTACCAGTGTAACCCAGCCTTGGTTTTATCTCATTTTTGCCATTTTCACTCCCTCTAGAATGGCCAGACATTTCCATCATAGCTCTGCCCCCCATCCGGGAAGAGTGAAGACCAGCCAGGGGAGAACACCCCACTTGGAACCCGGCAGTGTAGCGCAGCTCAAACCGAAGCTGGCAGGTTCTCCTCTGGTCGGCTACATGGTTGTCCTGGGTCCCAAGCTGCTTCTGTGCCCAGCAGAACCCAGCAGTGTAACCCAGCTCAAACCCCAATCAGGCAGGTTCTCCTCTGGTCGGCTACATGGTTGTCCTGGGTCCCAGGCTGCTTCTGTGCCCGGCAGAACCCAGCAGTGTAACGCAGCTCAAACCCCAATCAGGCAGGTTCTCCTCTGGTCGGCTACATGGTTGTCCTGGGTCCCAGGCTGCTTCTGTGCCCGGCAGAACCTGGCAGTGTAACGCAGCTCAAACCCAAGATGGCTCACCTCTCTACACAAAGAAGTCTTTTCTCTTGGAGTGCTGTTAGAGATTTTGGGCCCCATGAAAGTATGTGAAATTGGGCACCCAACCCAGACCAATCCAATTATGTTCCAAATTTTTTTGGCCCAGTAAATTATCCTAACGCCCCCCGATGGTGCCCATGCTCTTCTCTCTTACTAATGCTAATGCCATAACCGCTTCCCTAGGGCTGCACCGTTTGTGGATACACTGGGCATGTATTTTTAATGGCTTGTGGTTTTTGTAGGTTCCTTCATCTTATTGGTGTGCATCTGCAGCAGGTAAGTGCCCTTATCTTTCCCAGAGGGCCAGTCACAGTGTGTGGAAACCTTTTGAATGGTTTAATCAATAATTAATGTAAAATACATGTTTATTCCTGAAAAATACCATTATGGAAGCATTTTTAAGCCAAATTTTCATTTTCCCTATTGTAGAGAGATGAATTTTTGCAGTCTGCTTAAAGCTTCTCCACCTACTCTTACTGCTGCAGTTTCATTTTTAATGGATCCTATCAGAGGAAGTTCTGTTGTTACTTAGGTTAAAGTGGTTTGCTGTGGTGTGTGAAGATAGCGATATCGCTAAGTGCCCTTTCCAAAACACAAAGTCGGGTTAATCCTGGTCACAGTGTGCTTCACCCGTGGGAGACTTGCAGATGTGCAGGGGGGTGGGCTCTTTTCTTGATTGACAGTGATGTATAAAGAGAATTATTTCCCATTATGGAAGTTTTCAGGGTTGTCAAAGCCATGCTGCAATCTGGGAGTCGTCCCAGAGCCAGTCCAGCCCTGGATGAGCCACAGGAAATGCTTGGAGGGGTCTGTTCTCAACTCCCTGCTGAGGCAAGCCGCTCCCGCCCCTCAGGTCACGGGAGAGCCCCAAGAGCTGCAGCACAGGACGGGAGCACAAGCACATCCGTCGCATTTCCCGTACTTTCTGCTGGTCCTGTTGCCATGAGAATGAGTACGGCTTGGGAGCAAGTTAAAAAATGCAAGGTATATACTCATCCTACAGGGTGACGAAGCAAGATCAATTCAGACTCTTAGACTGGCAAATATTTTCCAAAAATAAAAATGCCCACGTATTTGCCTTATTTGTAATTCACTGTTGCTTGACATTGTAATTGTTCACATAAGGTGCTGGAGGAGGGTGCTATTGAAGCATGGACGCCCCCTTGTGGAAAGATGATGAGACTGCTTTCTTACGGAAAGTATTTCGTTACTCCTAGATTGTTGCAGCCAGTTAAGTTCCAAAAAGCCTTGGATGTTTGATCTGCAGTGTTACTTCTGTGTTTTCACATGGTTACCACCGTATGCCAGAGAACAGCTTCAATGGCATTATGGCAAGATATTCATGCTGAATTGGAAGAGGCAGCAACTGTAGTGGAGATCAAAAAAAAAATTATGAAACAAAAAAGTGCCTTTTACCCTTGGTAGTTCGGACTCCCTGTCAACCTTATTTGCTACACAGCCCTGACATAAGGACATTTTCATGTGTCCACAACATGCAGCCTGGCAGCCCTTCAACCCATCAGTGGCAAGGGCTGGTAGGTCAGGGCTCTGGGGGGGGGGGGGTCTGAGGAGCAGTGTCAGGGCAGCAATGATATATCAAAATAATGTTAGAAAGTAAGACAAGCACAAGTGTTCTAATTGGCTACTGTGCATCCTTTACCAGAACAATGGAGGGGTGGGATTTAGCCACAGGTAAGATGTCAGCTTTCATCAGAAGAGAATCTGCAGATGAGACCCTGCAGTGTCTTAGTTACTAAAGTATCCAGGCAATTCACTGGTGTATAGAAAGGAACAAGCCAAACTGCAAAATGGACAGTGATCTGCAGACTACATTTAGTATAGTATCATCTACACACTACCCTAAGCTCAGCAGATACAGCAGGCTACTACCTTAGCAAAGATCAGACAAATAGTTTGACTCACCAGGTGAGTATTGACAGAAAGCAGCAAAACCACTTTTGTAGACTGGGGCCTAAAAATTGAGGTAAAGGCAGAAAAGGCAGAGTAAACCAACTAATTATAGTGTTCATCCCCGATCCCTGAAGCGTCAAGGATTCCAGTAAAAGTTAAAACTGGCACCATGACTTGCAGTATTTGTGTTCAACAAGACAGTGGGAGCTGGACAACAGTTTTTATTAACATACAAAATCAAGACAAACCTCACGGAAATCAATCTGAGCTCCAGAATCCCAAGATCTAGTGTGACCTCCTGCAACTGCTATTGTCCAGTGTTTTATCAGTCACCTGATTTTCAAAACAGTCACAGATATAATCAAATCAGTCAAAAAGATTTTCCTGAATCATTATGCTCTGGGTTTGGGCATGTCTAGATGATGTTCAGTACGGGTCTGGATCAGGTTCTGGTTGGACTGGAAGACAACAGAAAATGACCTAAGCAGAATCATGTTGAACAGGCCTGTTCATCATCTGTATGTCCTTTCCATTATTCTTGTGGCCAACAAGGAGAGTAACAACCTGAACACTGAATTGCCCTTGAACTTTAAGGACACAAAAGTAACATGGTCCTGTTTAACCTTGCTCTCTGAAGACTTTAATCCAAGAGTACTAAAACTGATCCATCACACCAATGAGCATTTGAATGTCATAAAACAGAAATATATCACACAAAATTGTTCCACAGCTCTATCCCCTATACCGCTTTAAAAGAAAATAAAAAAACAACCTTGTGGAGCAGAGCTATAAAAAACTTATATTAATCATTCAAAATAAAAAGGCAAAACATATTACAGCTATTCCTGTGACATTCAGGTTCAATTGACCAGGAAAAAAGTGTCTCCCTAAATGCATTCAAGTTAAAACAAAGCACCATTGTGAGAGCACAGACAGCCTGAAGCACAAAGTAACAAAAGAAACATTACTCCTCAATTAAATAATCAAAAAATTACCCAAAACTCAGTTGTACTAAAAATTCAAGTCAAGTCAAATCTATTTAGTCAGCTGTATCTGTATTTTATGAACTACTTATCTTGATTTTTTTGCTCAATCCTAGGATAAAACATTTCTACCTTAACTGCCTTAATGCCACACCACCTAATTAATATCTTTATTACTGAGGCTACTGTATGTAAACAGTTTGGGAGGGGTGTGGCTCATAAGGTCACTGCCTGAGATCAGAAAATTGCCAGTTCAAATCCCGTGCATGGCAGAGTAGCTGTCTCTCTGTTGGGCACTTGAGCAGGACCCTAAGCTCCACCCAAGGGGATGAATGGCTGACTCCATCAGAAAAGTAAGACATGCATACCTGTTCTCACATGTGCAAATAAAGCTTAATTTCAATGGCAGGTTCCTTTTTATCAGAAGAAACATCAAGAAGGCACATAAATGTCAGTGATGGCAAGTCCACGGGCAGCTGGCTGCTTCATCCTAGGGGCCGTCTGCGCAGATGTGGGTTTAGGCTGAGAATATCTTCTGTGCAGATGTGGGGTTAGGCTGAGAATATCTTCTGTGCAGATGTGGGGTTAGGCTGAGAATATCTTCTGTGCAGANCAGATGTGGGGTTAGGCTGAGAATATCTTCTGTGCAGATGTGGGGTTAGGCTGAGAATATCTTCTGTGCAGATGTGGGGTTAGGCTGAGAATATCATCTGCACAGATGTGGGGAGCTTCTGAAGCACAAGCAGGCAGGATGCCAATCAGCCGCACCCAAAAGGCACGGGCTGAGAATATCATCTGCAAATCCATGCATCTTTCCCGCTTGAGGAATGATGTCATGTCAAAGGGCAGCACTTGTTCATTATTTAACTCATATTTTTTTGTCATAGTTAATTGTTATATTATGGTTTAATAAGGGCTGGTTTATACTTCATGTTTGCAACGTGTGCGCTCACTTGTGCTGCTTCTATGTAAGCAGTGTTGCTGCTCGTACTTGTACAAGTTAACTTTAATTCTCCAGATTGACATAATGTCCACAAGGGGGCAGTGCAACAAATTATTATTGTTAATTCTGCAATATTGCTCCAGGATTCTCTATATTGTTCCCGCTCTGCCACATGATATTGCTGCTCCGCTCGGCCACATATCACTTCACTACCTCATGTTGAATGTTGTATTATATACTGTTAGATATATGTTGTTAGATATCTCATAGTACTTAGTATTTTGTGTCATATAGTATTTCGTGTGATTTTTTGCGATATTACAATATTCATAGACCAGAAAAGGAGTTCAGAATAAGGTTCTCACAAACCTGCCTGTGTGTGGCTTAAACAGCAAAGATGGTTATGATTGGCTCCAAGAGCAGCGGTAAACAAGCTATTTTTTAAAAAACATGTACTGGATAATCTTCCAGCCACTTATTCTTAATAAATAAATAAATCAGATGCTACTTTAATACTTTAAACTAAACTAACTGTACCATACATATAGGCCTGTAACAGAAGTTGACCATACTGCCCAAGATTTTAATTGGTACTGCATGTTACGTACAAGTAGCTACACAAATGACACAAGAATGACCGCAAGAAACGTGTGGCAGCCATGGTGCACAAGCGTATGTGTTGCACATGTTGAGTATACACCAGCCCTTTATACCATAAACTAGGGTGTGTTCTTACAACATTCTTACAATCACTCCCCTGGGCGCCTAAGAGGAACCAGGCCTCTCAGTTTGTCTTTTTTCTTTTCCTGTTTCCCTTTAGGGGGTACTGTCATCCAAAGTGCGCAGGCACTCCCTCACTTCCTTTTCCACACGACGGAAGTGGTACTTCTTCAGGAAATTGCGCTGCTGGCGCTGGCTGGACTCCAGGTCCCTGAGAAAGTCCAGAAGCTGCTCACGGACACGACCGCGGTCCCAGGATGTGGCGTTCTGGCGGATGATGCTGAGGATACGCGGCCAGGCATCAGATAAGTCCACACCCTCTGTCACGGAGGTCAGGACCTTGGGCCGACGAGTGGCGCCAGCGTCACTGCCATTCACATACAGGGACTGCTTCCCCATCTCACTCAGCTGGTTCAGGTACAGGCTAGAAGGATACCCCACAGAGAGAGAGAGAACGAGAGTGATGAGATGGAGGAGTGACAGAGAGGAGAGGGAGAGATGGAGGAGTGAGAGAGAAGAGAGAGACAGATGGAGGAGTGACAGTGAGGAGAGAGAGATAAATCAGTAAATCAGTGAACTGGGGTATCTTAGTGGGACTTGAGGGGTTGGGGCTGTTACTCACTGCACGGTATGCACTGTTGGGTGCTTCTGGCATGCCGCCACCAGCTTCAGTGCGGCGCTGTCCCCAATGTCGTTGTAGGCCACGTTGAGCTCCTCTAGGCCTCTGGGGCTCGTCATGTCACTTAGGTGCACTGCAAGCTGCCTGGCTGCACTGTCATCTAGGCCTGTGTGCATGAGGTCCAGCCTTTTCAGTGAGTGGTTCCCCTGCAGACCCTCCAGCAGGTGCTGGGCTCCCGACTCCAGCAGGGGGTTGTTACACAGCCTGACGTGTCACACACACACACACACACACACACACACGGAAATGTGTTGAGTTTCCAAGGTGTGATTATGTTACAATTATCTTAATTCAATTAAATGAAAGAGTTTGTCATACATCCACTAAAGAGACTGCTAGACTAAACAATGATCATACACAACTTAAACATACAGTAAATACAAAATGAAGTGCTTAAAGCAGAGTATACTAAAACAGTAAGGTGCAATGTAAACTGCAAATACTACGAATATTGCAAGGGAGCAAGTATGAGCCAGTGGCAGCTTATAATGCAACAGACAGAAGTATGTGCAAATCAGCAGACTGTTCTCTACAGAAGTCTATATACACCATTGTCAATGGTGGGTGACTGAGTGAGTGTTTAGTGCAAACTCAGTACCTCATTAGTTTGAGGTAAGGTTGCCATATACTTCAAGTGACATCTGACAAAACTGTCAGAGAGCAATCGGTCATATACTTAAAATGACACCACCACCTTGTTCGTTCTATGTCATACCACAATTCTTGAGGGCTCAGAATGTTTTCGATGAAGCGGACCCTTATACGTATTGTAGTGAATGTGTGAGTCATTTTAGTAAAGGAGAAGACAGCGCTTTTAAAATGGAAGTGATTATCAGCCACTCACGGTTACACGCCAACAGAACACATGCATTCCGCGGCATATATTGCACAGCTAAGACATTTACTATTAACAGAAATACACATGATGATTTACACAATTTAAAGTGCAGTGCAGTGCAAAGCAAGCCGGTAACTGCATAGTCAGTCCTGCTGCCCAACCCTGCAGCATCACATTTATGTCAGCCAATCAAGGCCAGTGGGCGGGATCCGCACAAACGGAAAAGTTTGCGGACACTGCACAAGCAGTGCGCAGAAACAGTGATCACCGCATATGATATTGTATTGCCAATGCGACTGATTCCATCAATTTCTTCTGAAGTATAGGGCCAATTGTGGATTGTGTCAAAAGAATCGGGGGCACAGAGGGGAGGGGCTGATGGCCTGCAGGAAGAATGTGTTCTGTGTCTAAACCTGTCAGTCAAACCAAGGTAAAGACAGACTTGCTTCTTACTGTAGGAATCTAATAGCGCAGTTTGGATCAAGAAGCAGATCCTTCAGAATAACACAGGACTCTGGATCCAGGCTGTTAAACTGAAGACTAGAGATAAACGCAATATACACAAGCATACAAATGTCAGGCACAGGATATCAGACACAGAGCATAAATACAAACATCAGCTCAGTCTTGGCTTGGCTGTACTTTCCCATGTTGAACTTCTGCCATGCCTGGGGTTATCCTCTGTGGTGTCACAGAGACTGGGAATATTCTATACTACAAATTCATACAATCCATACTTGTTTTACCAGAAACTGTAAGAGAAGGCCCCTCACTTCAGATGATGAGTGCAGTAGAAGGCTGATCTCAGCATCTCCAGCATCTCGGACCTGAGATGGCAGGAGGACAGGTTCAGCTCATCCAGAAGGAGCCTTCGGGGGCTGCAGGTCAGCACCCAGCTCAAGATAAAGCATTTGATGGGTGTCATGCGAATGGTGGAGAGGTTGATGGTCTTGAGGGAGCTCAGGACCTGGCTGGTAAGGCGTGGGTTCTGGAACTCATAGAGGAACAGCAGAAGGTCCATAAGCTCAGTGGGTGGCAGATTCTTTTGGCCGTGCTGAGCTAGCCGGCGGGTGAGGCCATGCGTGATCTGTGCCACAGCCGTGCTGGTGATGTGACAGCCTAACTGCTCCAGCAGTGCTCGGTTTCCATAGTGCAGAAGACCTCCCATGAAGATGGGATAGAGCTCAAAGGACTTCATATCCAGCTCTTGCCTCGGCTGTGGACCCTGCACGCCCAACAGGCTCTGCTCCACCTGGTCCAGCACATCCTCATTGAAGCTATCCTCCGAGCGGAACATCTCGGCTGCCATGGTTCGGGCAATGCGGCCTTTGGTCATGTTGAGCACGCGCTCATACAGATTGGGTGCCAGCCGGAGTAGGTTGAAGACAGCGAAGATTCTGAGGGGGATGAACTTAGAAAGGATGTTCCCCAGGCTTTGCAGATCCTCCCCAGCCTGTCCCAGAGCCATGGACATGTCTCGGCTGAACCTCTCCAGAGCTGACTTGTTCTCTCCCAGCACCATGTAGAGGGCAGCAAGATACTCCTGCATAGTAGGTATGGCGAATACATATCGCTGTTTGGTCACATCCCCAGCCTCCAGCAATTTGGTGTTCTCCACACAGGGCACCAGAAAGAAGTCCAGCACGTCATTGCGGAACACGGACAACTGCTGCAGTTCCTCGTCCGTTTTAGTCTTGCCACCCACCCATTGCTCCAGCTCCTCCTCGGTGAAGCGCGTCCGTCTTTTGGTGACACCATCAAAAGCCAGCTTCCCCACCGTCTGCACCACATATCGCATCAGGGAGCTCTGCTCGATGGCACTGCTGCTGCCCTCGTTCACCTCCAGCACCTCCCCACCGAAGTTGAGCCGGAGAAAACTGGTGAAGATGCCTGTGAGTGTGCGGATGGGTGCCTGGGTGTCCGTGAAATGCAGAAAATGCAGGGTGGCGCAGGTGAGCCAGCAGTAGGACGGCAAGTAGCAGGCAAAGGCTAACTGGCTCTCCTTCTGCAGGTTGAGATAGAGCAGCTCGATCAGTGACTCAGCCTGTGGATTGAGCTTCTCTGTGGCCTGCTGGAGAAGCCGGCTGGTGAAGTAGGAACGCTGGCTCTCTGGGTCATTGAAACCACAGATCTGCATGTAGCGGCTCACATACTTCTTGGGGATATGCTCCACCGCGGATAGTCTGGTGGTGACCAGTATGGTAGCCTGGAAAACATTTATCAAACCATATAACCTGAAAGTAGCCATATACTATTCCTTGCATACAACAGACAGTGGTTTGCCCTCATAAAAAGAAACAGCTGGTCACACCAAGCAATGGAAGTCACACACCACAGAGCATAAACAGATGCATTTTGACTCTCCATGCCAAACCAAGAGCAGTTAGGTTATATACAGAGTTAAGAAGGCCTACCTCAGGCAAGAGGTACTTTCTCAGAAGGTTGACCATGAGGGTCCCCGTGGGAAGTGCCTCATTAGGGTCACTGCAGAGCTCAGTGGAGGCGATGCGGAAGTTCAGCCTCATCCTCTCCATGCCATTGAAGATGAAGAGGACATCCTGAGCTTGCTGAGCCTCACCACTGAGGAAGGGAGTCCGGCGCAGGTGCAGATACTTACGGCCTACCAGGTCACGCAGGGAGGTGGGATTCTTCGACTGGGAGAGATCCTCACAAGAGAAAGGCACCAGCAGCTTGAACTGGGAGAGGGCGGTACCAGCACACCAGTCCAACACCAGCTTGCGCACCACTGTGCTTTTCCCTGTTCCTACAGCCCCATAAAGCATAATGTTCATCCCTCGCTCACTGGGGTGCCCTGGTGGGCGATCAAAGAGCTGCTCCACACTCAGCGAGGGGTGGTGGGGGATCTGCGATCTCTCGATGCCCCTGCTCTCCGCTGGCTTTCTCTCCAGGATCAGTGGATCTATGTGCATAGTCTCTGGGGTGAAGTACCCGCCAAACTGCTTCTCCTCCTGGGGCAAATGGCTGAACCACAGCTTCAGCCTCTGCTTGTGTATCTCAATGGGGTCTGTGAAAGACAATAAGCTTATTAGCTAAGGGGGTCGATTCTCCCATGTGCTTAAGTCCAAAGAGTGCGTAGCTGCACCTTTGTTTTTTAACTTAAGCATATTCTCCCTTCAACTTAAGTCTGGGCTTTATGCTCACTTGGGCTAGATATGCATTTTGAGTAGAGAAACACTAAAATATGGGCATCGCATGTAAATGACCCTTACGTGGATGGAGCCTTACATGGATGGAGTCTCGCGCAGATGGAGGGATATTATTAGCCAACCTTTAACATTAATATTTCAGAATAGGCCAATCAGTTTAACTTGCATAACTGAAAAGGTAATGGAAGCTATAATCCAAGTGAAAATGATAGATTACCTGGATTCAAATAACATTCTGAGGGATAGCCAACATGGATTTAGGAGAGGTAGGTCCTGTTTAACTAATCTACTCTAAATTGATCACAAAAAGGCCTGCGACATGATCTACTTAGATTTCCAGAAGGCCTTTGATGTTGTCCCCCACAAATGGCTCTTGCTTAAGCTCAATGCTGCAGGGATTTTAGGAACTGTAGCAGCTTGGATTGAAAACTGGTTAACAGACAGGAAGCAGCGAGTAGTTATTAGAGGCACAATGTCGCAGTGGGCCTGCGTTCATAGTGGGGCACCGCAGGGTTCAATTTTAGGACAATTATTGTTCCTAATTTACATTAATGATATTGACACCAGTACATACAGTAAACTGGTTAAATTTGTAGATGACTCCAAGGTGGGTGGTGTAGCAGATACTAAACTAGCAGAACAAAGGCTACAACGGGATTTGGATTTAATTAGCGACTGGGCTGATACCTGGAAGATTAAATTTAACATAGATAAATGTAAGGTAATCCATGCAGGGAGCAGAAATATATAGTACAGATATTTTATGGGTTCCACTGAAATAAAGGTAACTAATTATGATAAAGACCTCGGTGTGTATGTTGATGTTTCCATGTCCCACTCTCGTCAGTGTGCGAATTCAATTAAAAAGGCTGATAGGATGTTGGGTTACATCTCTAGGTGTGTGGAGTTTAAGTCAAGGAAGGTGATGCTACGATCATACAATTCCTTAGTAAGACCCCACCTAGAATATTGTGTGCAGGTTTGGTCACCATACCTTAAAAAAGATATTGCTGCCTTTGAAAAGGTTCAATGTAGGGCTACAGGAATGATTCCTGGTCTTAGAGGAATGTGTTATGAGGAGAGGTTAGCTGAGCTGAATCTGTTCAGCCTCACGCAAAGCAGATTAAAGAGGGACATGATCCAGGTATATAAGATTGCAACAGGTCTCCATGCTGTTCAGCCAAATGGCTACTTTAATATTAGTTTAAATACTAGAACTCGTGGCCATAGGTGGAAATTAGCGAGAGAGCATTTTAAACTGAATTTGACAAAACACTTCTTTACACAGCGTGTAGTTAGAGTATGGAATAGTCTTCCTGCTAGTGTAGCGCAAGCTAAAACCCTGGGTTCCTTTAAATCAGAACTAGATAAGATTTTAACAACTCTGAGCTATTAGTTAAGTTCTCCCCAAACGAGCTTGATGGGCTGAATAGCCTCCTCTCATTTGTAAATTTCTCATGTTCTTATGACTCTTACACGGATGGAATATTATGTTGATGGACTCTTACGCGGATGGACCCTTATGTCACAACCCTCTACATGGCCAAACGCAATGCTGTAGTGGTCAGAAAGTCAAAAATGTAACCTAATGAAACTTTTTACATTTATTATACATTTAGAAGTAAATGCTACAATCAAAAACTCACATGAATAATTCATGTAATTACATAAGAATTATACAGAAATTAAATAATCACACAGTATAAAGTAAAGGCTAAATTAGTTGATTTAAAAAAAGTAAAAAATAAGTTCAAAGGAAGCAGCATGTCCTCGCAATCCCGGTGGTGATCCAGGATGGTGATCAGCTGATCCAGGATGGTGATCAGCTGATAACTCAGCTGATCTCTTCACCCAAAAATGACAACTGTGTCAGGCTCATGCTCGCAAGAACACTTGCGTCGTGCCCAGTGCCGCTTTGCACCTGATGTAAAATAGGGTCCTAAGTATCTCAGGGTCATCTTCGCTAGTGAGGGAAGAAGCAGGTGGGAGTTCAACAGGCTGATCAGTACAGAATTGGTAGTAATGCAGGCGCTGTGCCATTCTCTTGTGGTAAAAAGAATGCTGAGCCGGAAGATGAAGCTCTGAATTTACTGGTCGTTCTACGTTCCTACCCTCACCTATGGTCACAATCTTGGAGTAGTGACCGAAAGAATGAGATTGAGGATACAATAAAAATAAACTTCAGAAAATCGTTTTAAATCGGTGCAGAATTAGCTGCAGTTCAGCTGCTCGTTAAGAAAACCTCATTAATATATGGCTCTGCAACAGTAAAATGTCACTGGATTTTATGCATTAATGATTATATAGCATTTCCGTCAATGTAATATTCTGGGATGTTCAGCCAAACCACGTTAGACGTGGGTATGAATCTTCAGATATTTACAATATTTGTTTTAATATCTGCAATATTTATATGATTACACAGTTGTCTTTTTAGCTAGAAGAACCCGTCCTGCTTACCTGCAGCAACACTGGCACTGAAACACAGAGCCCTGAGTACAGGTACGGGCCCAGAGGCTGAGGACAGAAGGGGCTCCCTCATCTGTGGCCTCCACAGTGCCATGCCCAGACTCTGATGCCTGTGTCACAAAATTCAACAGATCGTATCACCACTCACATGGCAACGACAGTCAAGAAACCAATCTGAGACCTGCAGATCGCCTCAAATTTGGCATAAAACAAATGGCTTCACTGACAGCCCAGCCAAAGAAAAAGGTCAGCCCAGCCTACTGTAGATGCTCCTTTCAATAAGAACATCTACTAAACCACCACATGAGAAGAGGTGAGTGTTCCATACTGTCTCCTACTGCAGACATCCAGACATCCACACTGCAAAGCCTGTTTCGTGTTACAAGGTTGGAAGACAGCTATGAAAGTGCAGATGAGAAAATCAACCTGGGCTTACCAGTGTGGCTCTAAAGGCCAGGTTCTCTTCATGTCCATACTTGAGAAATGCCTCTGTTTCAAATCTGAAAAATAAAACAGTCTCAGTCAAGGTCAATTTTAAAGATCAATTCATGGCATTAGAATCCATTTCAGCAGCTGAAAACTGAAGCCAGAAGAGCTGTCAGGTCTTACCCTTCCATGAGGTGAAGATTGTTTGGTAAGAAGTAGCTCGCTGTTTCCATCGCATTCTCCTCCAGCTGTACACACCTGCACATCTCCTACATAGCCACATCACGCCAATCCAGCTACGAACCTTTACATGAAGACACAACATAAATCAAGGTTCACTGTGACTCAGATCCATTTTGGATGTGCAGAGTATACCTCCATGAAGGAAGACACCCTGAAAGGCACAAGTTCCCGATAATTCAACACATCGGAACACACATCAGCTCCCTGCTAAGTGTAATGTCAGAGCTCCAGTGTGCCCAGCAGAAAAGAACAACGCTGCACCTTCGGAGGCCAAGAAGGGAGCCCAACTCCTGCTCATTCACACTTAAAATGCTTACAGTCCAGGGGGCGGAAAGGGTTTAATAGACTGGAATTAGCACTTCCTTCACTAAACTGTATATAGAAAAAATAAGGTAAAACAATAGCCAGCTTTAAAGATTATGGTTGCAGTCATGAGAGGGAGGTCCTTCCATGCCATCCTCAACCCAAATGGACACAGCAGCCTGCCCCAGATTCTCCTCCCCACCCCAACAGGAGCGCAACGGGGAAAAAATAGATCCTCTAACCCACATGATCTCTGGTGAACCCTCTGACACTAATTCTGGGTGAAGCAGCAGCTGGATTACACTGCTATTCCAAGCCAGACCCACTGAACCGGAATGGTGCTGTGACGTTCCACACTTTTCATAGCCCCTCCTCTTCTTCCATAACTCTGCAGGCCTGGGCCACCTCCCACCCCCCAGCCCCCACACAAGTAATTACCTGACAGATTTATGAGAAGGAGATTTCAGCTACTTCCCTCAAGGGCATTGGTGCAAAACAGATCAGTGGAAATTACAGGATACAGAATACACCATTTAGAAAACAATTAACTACCTAGCATTACAGGACATGGTAGCTGTCAGAGCTGGCTGTATCTCCGTCGTGAAACATACATATTGTCACAGGTCACCAAGACGAACCTGGTAGCAGAAAACTTGAGAAAGTTGTTGAAATGTCTGGCAACTGGTTTCAGTTCTGCAACTGAATCATTAAGAGCTGGGTGTCATGACCTTACAGTACCACGTAAATGCAAAGCTGATGATTTAAGACAGCATCATAGTGTCCCACACAACAAAATCCCACATACTGAAGAATAAAAACATTACTTGGAAACCTATTGCGTGTTAACATTCCACCTGACCACTAAGACTATTACTAGTCCTGCAATTACTTCTGCATGTTCCAGGCCAGACTTCCAGATAATTCCAGACTATTGTTAACTGAAACAAAACGGTGACATGTCACCTCCCACTAGCTATTTACTGCAGATAAATTAATGGTTTACCAAGTAATGAAACTGGACAGCAGCACCTTGGCAGGGGGGTAGTCTGTGTAACCGGCTGAACATCTTTAACAGATTAATTGTTGTGTTTCTCAACTAAAATCCTGATCACTTCTCTCCTTGTACAGCTGGTAGGTAGCATGAATCATCACACATTTACAATACCATTATGAATGTTGTAATACATTTTACACTCCAAGTTTGCTTTAGAATTCCTTTTCTGCTGAATGCGATGCTCGTGTATGAAAACAGCCACCATCATGTTACACTGCTTGCAATATTTATGAGACCAATATTTCATACTTTAAGCAGGGAAGATATGCTTTCCTTAATTTTGAACTGGCTTGTCAAACAAACACGAAAAAGGCAAAGTTATAACTCACAATAATTATTCTTACTGAAATTAGTATAAACACCCACATGTATAAAATCTAGCATCAATATCAATCTGATTGAATAAATACAACGTCAGTTACAAGAAACATATAAGAATTAAACCTGAAATAAGCAGGGATCTCGGGAAATCGCACCGGAAGGGATTAATTGGGAAGATCCTTTAACACCTACACTTCACCCACGACGTTAACTTTTATTTAACTTAAGTACCACGGCAACATCCTCTAGTGCAGAAGTTACTAACAGGCGAACCGCAGTCCGGGTCCGGACACAGAAGCTGTCCCATACATTAAGTTATTATTTAAAACCTGATGGGACGCTTATATTTTAACCGGCGCAGCTTTTGTAGTCTTTTCGGTAGTGACTTAGCAGTAGAACCGCCGTTTCCCACCCCAATGGACGTCAAACGCCTTTAACCGCCAAGCAAGACGTAGTTTGGCTTATGCAGCACTTTGTCTGCGCTAATATGCTATTAGTGTTACTAGCAGCAGCAAAGCTAACAGTAATACCCGCACCCAAAAAGCCGCGATGTTCCGAACAGAGTGACTGCATGGTCTGTCCTGAAATCATACAGCTGAAAAGTTTTCAAATACAGTATGTATAATATAACATGTTGGATTAATAGACGTAGTTTACTGTTGATTTTATGTTCGTTGAAGTTTCTGCTTTTTAACACATATATACAGTAATGTTATCTTATATAAACAAACTCAGGTGAAACAAAAAAATGTACGTTTTCATAGCTGCCAAATCTCAAGCATCTGGCATGACACTCACGCTTTCAGACTCACGCAGGAAATCTTACGGTAAATCTATATTTTTCCATTATAAAACCTAAAAGTTCTATGTCACGTGACAATAAATATTGTCAAAACATTTTTGAATTGTACTGAATTAATTTGATTTGACAGTCAGATACTGATTACATGCAATGTTGATACAACTAATAGGCTACTTAAATATATCACACTAAATATTTAGACATTATGATGTTCCGGACCTTTGCTTCAAGAAATTTTCTCTAACCGGAGCTCTTTACATTTTAGTTGAATACCCCTGCTCTAGTGTCAGTGGGCTTCACGTGACTGAACGCCAGCGTAGTAGGAAGTAACCTGCAGTCAAAGCGAAAAAAATTCGAGATGCACAACGCGCTGTCACCACAATAATTAGCCTACGCTTAAAGGACAAGTAAAGTCAAGAAAGACAAGTTCTACCCATGTCAAAACGACAAATTACCTGGCAAGCATCAATAGATCAAGATTAAGAAAATATATGAAGGCGGGCTAGTTATTATTCAATGTCGATTTCCAGCGAAAGGCACTTCAAAGAATCAGATGTTTGGCATAATTTGGCGGTACGATTCATTTACCTCTTCCCCTAGTAGGTAAAAAAATACGGAGTTACCGCTGGTTGTCTCTGGTTTTCCAGTGAAGCTGCGCTCTAGTCCTCTAACTCCCTTGCATCGGTTGGAAGGAGCACCTGGTGGAGTCCGTTTGCCCTCGGAACGCGGATTCCGATTCGGGCTGTGGCAACTCCTCAGCAAGGAAAGTAGCTATTGGCTGTCCCAAAAGTCGCTAGATGTCGCTAAAGGACGCCATCGCCTCATTTGCATAATATGCAATGTGCATGTAATTATAATGGACGCTGTAGGAGAGGAATAATGTCGTGGGAGATACAAAAAGTGGTTAAAAAACACCATAAGTACGTTTAAAACTCAAATGAACTGTATATATGTATATATATATCACAATTCCAACCATCCTCTTATATCCGGCCTTGGGACCAGCAAAAGCGATCCCAAAGAGACACGTACTCTGGCGGAGTTTTTTTTATCATTATTATTTTTATTAATGCTGTACTATATACAAACATTTTATAAGCACATCTTAGGATATAGTTCACTGTGACAATATAAACGGTAGAAGAGAACTAAAACAACAACTGTGTAATTATTGAGGTCTGTCCAGAATATCTTACTGTATCTAAAATCCCAAATATAAATGAATTACAGTTTCAAGAGCATTACATCCAAAAGAACAGGACACATTTATATCTCTTAAATTTGGCAATCTTACAATTCACTGGATAACAACGGTAAAGAATCTTTAAAGTTACCTCCCGCACCTTATTCGTAATAATGAAAGTCCTAGGTAACATGGAAGTAGATTCCCAATCTATGTCATCGAACAGATTATTCCAGTAAAATACTGCAGCTGGCTTAGAGACAATATTCCTCTGAATTATATGTCTAATGCGTTTGTTGGTCGCTTCTTTGCTCAGAAGAGGACACATGTTGCCTATAAACAAATTCTCAGTAGCTAGATGAGGGAGAGTGCAGTTTTTGCACTTTACAGCCGATGATAGCAGAAGGACTGCCCCACTATGTATTGCATCAAAAACCACACAATATTCTTTAGGAGAAACAAGAACCTTATACTCGGACAAAAACTTCTCATATGTAAACACACCATCTTCGTTCAATAACTGACTAATTAAAATATAACCATTATCAGTCCATCTTTCAAGTTTTGATTACTCTGGCGGAGTTACTTATTTTTGACAGCCAGGGCAGTATCAGCTAGCGGCGGCTTCGCGCATGCGCGGTTCATTTGCATTCTGGACGCAGAAGGGTGGGGCTGCTGCGCGACGACTGGCCGCCTGTGAGTGCTTTGGGACAGGAGGGGAGCCCACGGCAGCACCCGCTGCTTGGTGAGAAGAGGAAGAACGATACGTGCTTTCACGTCAGAGTCTTGAAAAGTCTCCAATAACACCAGAAAAAGTCGCCAGATTTGTCGCTAGTTGCTTTTTTGAAAACGAGTCGCTAGAGGGGTCTTTTTTTATTATTATTTATTGTTTATTTGACATGGACAGTGCACATTAATAAACATAAAATGTAAATGTGCCAGAATTAGCCAAAAAGGCTATTTTACATCTGTTGTCCATGGACCGATGGTAACAGGTCAAATACATAATAAAAGAAACAAGATACATAAAGTATAGATAGATCATAATAAAAGAAGTAAACAAAAAGACACATAAAACATACAAAAAGAGAAGGGTCAGAAGTTAGCAACACTGGGAAGGAGCACAATTCGTGTCGCTGCAGACCAGCGCTGCGCGCGGCTAGATGTTAGCGCTTCTTAAAATGCACAGTAATTCTTTGTGTAAACACTGCTTACAAAACAAGTTACTGCTGCAATAATCACAATACCTTAAAACATTAATACAAATCTACATTGTAATTATTTATATTACAGTATCATCACATTGTTAAAAGAGCGTACGTCAAGTTTGCCATTTTTACTTTTTTTTAGAGAAAAACTAAAAAAAAAAAAGTTTTTTTAGAGAAGGTGAACGTTTGATTTTTTTGCCTACGTGTTGAAACTTTTTTTTGGTGAATCTTCTTATTAACAAGAAACAAAGTCTGCTAGCTGAGTACTGCAAACTGTCACCGCCAAAGGATTTTTTCCCCCAAACGGCTAAACGCGAGCCACACGCCCCGCAGCCAAACAACGTCACCGGGAAACGCACGTACTCAGGTACTCTGACGCATTCTCGAAATATAAAATTGGAAAACATCCAAAGCTTTAAACAGTTTTTGTCACCTCAACAGTTTTTTGTGGAATTAAGTTCCAGGTTGTTTGAACAACATCACGTTGTCAACTGCTTGATCTCCTCTCTGTATGCTGACTCGTCACTGTTCTGAATCAGTCCAATCAGGGTTATGTCATCTGCAAACTTAATGAGTTTTACAGTGGGGTCCCCTGATGTGCAGTTGTTTGTGTACAGAGAGAAGAGCAAAGGAGAAAGCTTGCAGCCCTGTGGCGCTCCGGTGCTGTTGGTTCGTGGTTCTGAGGTGTGTTTGCCCATCCTCACACGTTGTGTTCTGTTTGTGAGGAAGCTGTGGATCTACATGCATAGTGGTTCAGGTACGGACAGTTGTGAGAGTTTAGTCTGGGAGTGAGCAGTTAGCTAGAGCTAGAAGTAGAGTCCCTATAAGCTAGACCAGTGTTTCTCAAACCAGTCCTTGGGGACCCCCAGACAGTCCACAATATTTGCACTCTCCCAACTCACAGGGCATTGGGAAAGACCACAAACGTGAACCATCTGGGGGTCCCCAAGGACTGGTTTGAGAAACACTGAGCTAGACTAAACAAGTGTGTTTTTAGTCTAGACTTGAATATTGAGAGTGAGCCTGAATCATCTACTGGGAGACTATTCCACAGCTGCGGAGCTCTGTAAGAGAAAGCTCCACAGCCTGCTGTGCTTCTTTCTGCTATAGGTACTGATAGATATCCTGCTTCTTGAGATCAAAGCAGGTGAGGAGGGTTGTAAGAGTGCAGCAGATCTTTAAGATATTCTGGTGCAAGGCCATTCAGTACTTTATAAAGTTAGCAGTAGTATCTTGTAATCAATCCAAGACTCAACTGGAAGCCAGTGAATGGAGTGTAGAACAGGGCTAACTACTGTAATATGGTAATTTCTTTTAGTTTTTGTAAGAACTCTGGCTGCTGCATTTTGTACAAGCTGAAAGTTTATTTAAGGATGCAGATGGGCAGCCAGATAGGAGAGCATCACAGTAGTCCAGCCTGTAAATTATAAAGGCATGAATTAATTTTTCTGCATCATGGAAGAAGAAGCATCTTCCAAAGCTGGGCCATGTTCTATAGATGGTAGAACACAGTTCTAGTAATACTTCTTATGCATGTTAAGCTGAACCGGTAAACTACCAAGGTTGAATTTGCCAGACTTACTTCGAGCAGCCTTAGCACCAACAAGCAGGACTTTTTCTGTGTGTAACATAAGGAATTTTTAGCCATCCAACACTGGATGTCTATTAGACATTTTTCTACCCTCTGTTTAAGTTCACGTGTATGATTAGAATACCAGGGGGCAGGTTTCTTATCTCTGTGCTTTATTTTCTTAAGCTGAGCTACAAGATCTAGAGTGCTGCACAGTGATTTCTCCATGTTCGCAGTTACCCGTTCCAGTTCATTTTCACACAAGAATTCATATGTAAAGTTGAAAGACTGTGGAAGTGGGTCAAGAAACACTGTGGTGGATAATGAGGCTATGGAACGGCTAGTACTATAGTTCAGTTCTGGTGCGGAATGGAGGATGTATTGTATTCCAAACAGTAATGATCTGAAAGTAGAGGATTCTGAGGGATAAATTAATGATTTGGTTAAAAACCAAGCATATTCTTCCATGGGCTGTGAAGAATACGGGCAAACCTCTGCTCGATTCTTAAGTGAAGTGTTTTTTTTTGGGAAACTTTCCAATCTTTATGAACAACTACATGTCTTTGGTTAGGTTTTGTTTCTGAGCTGTTTGGCTGTAGTTTGCAACCAGGGATGTTGGAGGGACATGGATACCCTGGCGAATTCAGGGGGTGCAGCACCTTACAGGGGCCACGGTAGGGACATGGATATCCTGACAGATTCAGGGGGCCCAGCAAGTTACAGGGGCCACAGTAGGGACATGGATACCCTGACAGATTCAGGGGGGGGGGCAGCAACTTGCAGGGGCCACGGTAGGGACATGGATACCCTGACAGATTCAGGGGGGGCAGCAAATTGCAGGGGCCACAGTAGGGACATGGATATCCTGAGAGATTCAGGGGGCCCAGCAATTTACAGGGGCCATAGTAGGGACATGGATATCCTGACAGATTCAGGAGGCTCAGCACTTGCTAGGGGTCCTTGAATATTTGAATATGAGGGGCCAAAAATTTCCAGGTACTCCTCTG